TACTGCCAGTAAGGATGCCCTTGTCCCACATAAGAATACTTGGCTTCAATTCCTGGCTGTTGCTCCTGACTCCAGCTTCCTGCTAATGCAGACCCTGGGAGGCATTAGTGATGGCTCAAATAATTGGGTTCATGCCCCCCTTATAGGAGATTTAGGTTGGGTTCCTGGTTTGCAGCTTTAACCCTCCAGCTGTTGTAAGTGAGCTGTTGTAAGTGAGCTGTTAGAAGTGAGCCAGCTGATAGGAGTGCTCTCTTTCTCTCTCTTTTGCATCTGGTCTCTTTCCCTCTGCCCATCAAATAAATAAATACTTTTAAAAATGTTGATTGAATTTAAATCCTAATAGTGGTTGGCAATGAACAAAGAAGGAAAAATAAAGTCTGTTATGTGTGTGTGTATGTGTGTGTGTGTGTGTGTGTATAGTAGTATAGAGAAAGAAAGCAGGGAAAGTGAATACAAAATGCTAGAGTGACAAGCAATTTTGAATCATAGAGGCCAGGTAAGTTCTTCATAAACAGATAACATTTAAGCCATTGCCTCTTAAAGGGGATGAGCCATGTGTGACATCTGGGAAGAGGTAGTTCTAGGCAAAGGAAAGATATTCAAGGGATAGCAGCACAGCCATGACATGGACCAGAGTGAAGAGCATGGAAGGATACTGAGAAAGAGGTCAGACTTGTGAGCTAGATTGTGAAGGACCCTGTTGTCCATTGTGGGGAGTTCAGCTTTCACTTTGAGTGATGTGGAAGTCAGTGAAAGGTTCTGAGTAGAACTTCATGACATGAAGTGACATTTTAAAAGCCTCACCATGGCTGCTGTAATGATAAAAGGGAGGGACTGGAGTAAAAATAGAATGAGGAAACCCTTAGGTTATTGCAACATCCAGATAAGGGATGATGGTGGCTGGATGTTGATCCAAAGATGCTGAACAATTTCCCCAAAGTCAGACAAGTTAGTAAAGAATGGAGCTAGAATTTGATATGGAACCTGAGATCAGTCAGGAATAAAATTAGGAAGCAAGCATTAAAATCTGCAGTTTGAGAAAGTTGCAGAAAAGCACACTTACGTCACCTGGCCCCTCCCTCATTACATGGTGATGTCCCTGGATTCTTGTGGTAATGATTACTCACCTTTCTGGAGGTGTTCAAGTAGATTAGACACAGACTGTTGAGAGAGTCAAGAATGAGGAGAATGAAAGCTGTCACTAACTGTGATGAGGAAGACCTGACCTGTGGGAACCATCAGGAAATGGTTCAGGCAGGTGGAGAGGGCAAGGGACTACTGAGCACCCACTTGGAAATGATGAATAAGAAATTAAGATGTGAGTCTGGCGTTTAGGGGTGCGGTCCTCTCTGAGTGCTCCAGTGAATTGATTACTGAATACTTTGATTACCACAAGGTGTTAAATATTTTGAATATGACTTTTGCAGTTGCCAATCTTTCTTGTTTAATACATAAAACATATCTCCAGGTTTATTTTCTACTAAAAAACACTTGGATCATGTAACTCCTTTGCTCAGGGTTTTTAGCAGCTCCCCATGGCCTGTGGTATGAGGTCAACCCTTCTTAATCTAAAATTTAAATCCTTTCATGATTCCATCAAAATCAACTTAAGTGCACTCTGAACCCTACTCTAGTAAAACTTGGCTCAATGGAATCTTCCACGTCTTAGGTTTTTCCATCTCTGGGCTATTTATTAAGCTACTGTCCTTGTCTCACAATAGCTTAGCTTTTGCTGTCTATCAAAGTCCTAATCAGCACATTATCTCAGCTTTCACTATTTATTAAAGCCCTGACTCCGTTCATCACCAGAGGACACTCCACTTGCTTTGTAACTATTAAGGCTGAAAATGAGCTCTCTCTGCTCCGATCTTTTACTGACTTCATTGCCTATACCACTTATTTGCTGGCTTTCATATAGTGCTTCGTTTTTCATATGCATGTCTGTATTGACACACACAGGGACACACACATACATATATATCTGTGTGTTTTTGTATGTGTGAATAAATTAAATTGTAAATTACATTGTAAACAGGGAGTGATACATAAATTATGGATAGCCCCTTACTTTCATCATATTACTTGTTCCCCATAAATAATTTGATTGATGATCTTCTCTTTAAGTTTTTAAGTTTAATTATTGTTCTTATTATCTAAGCTCCTACATGTATTATCATAGAGATCCACACCCAGAGAAGGACTTTACCTATCCCATTGTATAAATGTGGAAGTTGAGCCTTAGATACCTAAAACATCTTGACCAAAGCCACAAGCAGTGATTGGTAGAGCTAAGAATAAATCCCATTGGCCTACCTCTGGAGCCAGATCTCAGTTATCACTGGGTCTTCTCCCTCCTCCCTAGACAGTAAACTCAAAAATTCATGCAAATTGATTCAAGAAGTGAAGGGGAGGCCCCCATCCTCAGTCTAAAAGGATGTTATAGACAAAGCCATGCTTCTTTTACCTGCCAATGATGTTTCCAAGCATTCACAGAGTAAGATGCTCTTCTCTTAGACCCGTTGAGAATAAATTGTCAGGTCGAATGTTAGTTACAGTGACTGGCAGTTCCTTGCTCCTTTTCTTTACCATATTTCTCATTGTTGTTTGTCCCCCTCTATATAGTATTTTAGTCACTTGATAAATGAAGACTCTTCAAAGTAGTGTTGGAAACACTGAGTGATGCCTCTAACTCTCTGAAGGTTATTTCAGCTGGGGAGGCTTCGCAGGAAATAAGGCTTGACTAAATGTCAGAGTCTTAAAATACATTGCATGGGTGAGAGGGGTGAAGTGGAGAGGAAAGGGCATATGTAACAGAAAACATCCAGTCATTCCTGGGGCTGGCCTATGTGAAGTTCCGTTTCTCTCAAGACCAGCTTGGGATTCTCCAGAAGAATTCTTATGTATTCGTAAATAACCACGTGACTCTCTTGCACTAATGGAAAATCTGCTTGTTAATTTGCATAGCAAAAGAGGTCCAGGAATCGTAATGAAAAATGCAAAGCTATAGGATTTCCATTTACTGGAAGTCATCACAGGGAATAGCGAATGTGTATCAGGATACTGTTACAGGGAAAACCAAATAGACTACAAAGGCAGTATTTCCTGGCAAGAAAAAATGTGCTCTCAAATCATTTTTCTAGGTGGCTGTTACCACACCCACTGGATTATTAGTATCAAATAAAAAGATAAGGCTGAAGGATATATATATATATATATATATTGAACTCAATAAAATGATTGTGTATGTGAAATGTGTTTCAGAAAGGGTTTTTTGCATTGCAGTTTCTTTTCCTGATGAGCAGATTTTAGTTTGGGTAGAGTGTCGGTCTCCCGGAAGTCTCTGCTTCCATCCCCTATACCATTTACTCTTTGAGTTCTGAAAGAATACATTGATTGTCACCTGTATTTTTAGATATGGCTTTAAGACAAGATCATTCCCAGTCACTCAGGCCTGTCTCCAAAAAAGACCAAGAAAAGAGCCAAGGGTAAACACATATACAGGTAAACTAGTACAAAGTCCATAAATCTAGTATATCATTTAATTAACAAGATAGTCATCATTTTACTCAGGCACTGAAATGTCTTGAACACCTGCTCTGTTTCACGCAGTTCTGAGCCAGGGTAGTGTCAACACAGAGATGAGCACAGGAACATGTAAATAAATAATTGCAATGCTGTATGAAGTGCTCTTATTGACTGATTAAGGGAGGTCAAGATAAGGTCAGAGGGCAAGCCTGACATTAGCTTGGTTTTCCAGGTCAGCAGTCTGGAGGGAGAACCCACAGAGGGGCCTTGCAGTAGAGAGAACAGCAGGCACTGTGGCTTGGGGAAGAGGACAGTGTAGACAAGCATGATTCGTTTCAGGATATGGAGGGGGCTCAGTACGACAGGAGCACACGGGAGGGCTGGAGAGTGGTGGGAGACATTGGAGAGAAAAAGCTGAGTCAAGTCTTCGGCTTCCATTTGTTCCCTTTCAGGGAGTGTACAGTTGAGGGGTTGTAGGTTTTATCCTACATCCGTGTGGATATATATATATTAGGCAGGTCTAATAAAAATTTAACTGATTGTAAATGCTATCTTTTCCCTTTCAGCAACACAACCTCTCTTCTTTCATGTTCCTTGACTGCTTTTGCTTGAAGTCCAAAAATAGGTCTTCTGCTCCATGTGATCCGTTTATGTCATTTCCATGCTTTTGTCTGCACTAGCTTTCTGTTGTTCTGTAACCTCAAGGCCCTGTCAAATGACTAGCATCAACTAATGAAAGCTAAAACATTAGTGCAAAAAGAAATATGAGTCATGGAGAAAATTGAGACTTCACTTATGGAAAAGAGAGCCTTAAACTTGAAAATCCAGCTTAACTTTTCTGCCAATAAGATTAGGTTTGCAAACAATGCTCATTTTCCTTTGTAATGAAATATTTTTCCATTCCATAAAAATTAGTAGCTCTTACAGAATTAAGTATGACTCATTAAATTCTAAACAACTAAACTCACATTTAAAAGACACTGCCAGAAAATCTTGCCTTTGGGGAAACCAGTAACCAAGTTGTCAAAAAGTCATTGCCTAAATGCTCTGGGAAAGACAGTGAGTTTATGGCAGTTAGGCTACTGAGGAAACAGCAGGTTTGCCCAGGCTTCTTGTGGTGGTAACTTCCTCCTCCAGCAGAGACACTGCCAGTAAAGGAAGAATGACAATTTACATACCATTGCAAGGCTGATCTGTCCCATGTCTTAGTCACCACCTGTCTGCTTGAGACATCCCGGGAAATCCCTATCTGGAAGAGGGGGAAAAAGAAAAAAAATCACAGTGGCTGTGCTGATATCTGTATTCTGTATAATTCATCTGAAGAGTCATTTCTCTTCACTGGCTTAGACAAACTAGTGCTGTTATTTTCTATCATGGGCTAACTGTGTGTGTTTTGTCAATTTTGTATATTTGGTCTCACTCTAAAAAAGACCCCATAAGAGACCTCTTTTTTCTCTTTATTTCTGCTAAATAAGATTCCAGGAAACACAGTCTCCATGGCCCATTCTGTACAGGGCACACCTAGAAGAAGTGCTGCAGAAGTTTCTACGGAGCAGGCAGAGGTAAGAGCACATTTCCAGGGTATGAATGGGCCACTTGCAGCATCAATGGCATATCCAGCAGTTAAATGTGTGGGGATAATAACAGTAGAAATGGCTAATTTGCTCTCTTTAAAGAAGATCTGTTCTGTATTTGTAGCCAATGTTATTTAATATAGAAATTATATTTCTGGCTGACTGTTGCACTGCCTTTAAACTCTCAGATCTATGTTTCTTCTTTCACAAAATGAGAGGAATTGATATGTCTGAATTCCTTCCAGCTCCCCAAATCTATGGGTTCTACATTTTGCTATTGATTTAAAGTAATATGGTTTTATGTAAAATGAAAAAAAAAAAACAATTGTGTATTGATGTGGTAGAAATAGACCATGTTAAAGTAATAGAGTATCTATAATAAAATATTTACATGTTCACAATTAATAATGTAGTTGTTGTTCAGTGATATGCTTACTATTTGAATGAATAAAACTGCTTAAAGTTTTTTTTTATTTTTATTTTTTAAAGGATAATCAAGGTATAATAGGAAACCAAGTGGAACTCTGATGCTCCTTTAGATATTTAACTCAGTAGAGTCAGAACTAGGATATATTAGATGTTGGTATGGATCTTATGGTAGAGAAAGTGATGATCAAATACTCTGAATACAGATTATACGTTATAAGGATAATTATATGGAATTATTTATAAGGAATAATCTTTCTGTAAACAGGTTCTTACCAGAACCCAAGACCAAAATCTTTGTATTTATTGCAATATAAATTATTTCATTAACAATTGGAAAACAAAGCAAATACAAATGAATAGCTCTGCCAAAACCTTTGCATTTGAATGATTTTGCTTCATTTGAACACATACCTGGAACAACTGAACTATGCACAGTGCTGATCAACCTTAGAGTGATCCCTGAGATTTATGGCTCATGGGTCCTTCTTTCCTTTGTGTCTCCCATCCTTCCCTTCTTCCTCACATCTAAATATTACTTCTATGCTTCAGGACTTAGTACTCCTATGGTGATAAAAAGATTTGCATATAAATTCAGTACTTATCTTTTCAGTAACTCCGATAAAATAAAAATCAGGATAGAAATCTCTTCCCAGAGATAAGTATTTATGGGGAAAAAAGAGCATACTGCTTATTTTTCCTCAATTGAATTTCCAGAAGTCAGGGCCATACAAATGTTAGCTGGTCACAGATTTTTGTCTATACTACAGAGAAGATGTTTTGAGAATCCAAACGTTATGTTTCCCTGCATAGTCTAGAATAGGCCATGGAACTCTAATACGAATCATGATGATCTAGGAAATTTATTTGAAATGGAGTGGGGGAGTGGGTGGGACATTTGGCACAGCAGTTATGCCTTTTGGGACACCTGCATCCCATGAGTGCCTGGGTTTGGGTCTGAGCTCTGCTCCCCATGCCAGCTTCCTGTTAATGAGCACCCTAGGACCCAGCAGATGTTAACTCACCTGGGTCCCTGTCACTCATATGGGACACATGGATTAGTTGCCAGCTTGCAGGCATTTGGAGAGTGAACCAGAAGATGGGCGGTCTTCTCTGCCTTTCTCTTTCTCTATGTGTTTCTCAAATAAATAGATGAAACAATCTTTCAGTAATAATAATAGATGTCCTTTCAGAAGTTCTGATCCTGTGTTCAGAATATTCTGTTTATCAGCTTCAACAGTGGCTTTGGTGTACTTTTGCTGTGAGTCTGACATTCAGTCTCATGGCACCTCTGCTGTGTGAGTTCAGGACTCTACGTGAGGTTGGCTTGCAGCAGTTTCCACATCAAAGATGCTTCATGCTGGGAGCAAGCATTTTCCTTGGTTTTTTTGTTTTGGGTTTTTTTTTTTTTTTTTTTTTGACAGGCAGAGTGGACAGGGAGAGAGAGAGAGACAGAGAGAAAGGTCTTCCTTTGCCGTTGGTTCACCCTCCAGTGGCCGCTGCGGCCGGCACACCGCGCTGATCTGAAGGCAGGAGCCAGGTGCTTCTCCTGGTCTCCTATGTGGGTGCAGGGCCCAAGCACTTGGGCCATCCTCCACTGCACTCCCGGGCCATAGCAGAAAGCTGGCCTGGAAGAGGGGCAACCGGGACAGAACCCGGCGCCCGGACCGGGACTAGAACCCAGTGTGCGTCACAGCGCCGACCCCTTAGTTGTTAAGATGCATGCCTCCTTTATTGGACAGAGTACCTGGGCTCAATATTTGGATCTGGCTGCTGATTCCAGCTTTCCCCCAGTGCAGATGCTGGAAGGCAGAGATTATGGCTTAAGTAATTGGGTCTGTGCCACTCATCTGGGAGATCTGAGTTGTATTTGTGGCTCTTGATTTCAGCCCCAGTTTAGTCCCAGTGTTATTAGCATTTGGGGACTGAATCAGCAAATGAGAGCTCTCTGATACTCATTTTCATTCTCCCCCTTTCTCTCTCTTGCTCCTTCTTTCTCTCTGCCTCTCAAATAAAGAAGTAAATTTCTTTATTAAAAAAAAATGATGCTTCATGTTTACTCTGTTCTAATCCAAAATGGGCCTACTTTCTTAGAAGTCCTCCCAAAAAAGGCAGGATCCAACCTACTCTGTGTGCACTGAACCAATGCTTTGAGACCAAGAGAAAATATGATAATTATGAATTTATGACCCAGACAAGACTATTCCATTGAAAACGCAGTCATAGTTATAACATGGACGAAGTTACAAAAACTTAAGAACAGCATCTACACTGGTGTAAAATATCAAACTCTAAAAAGCCGAGGCAAATGTAAGCAGAGAAAAGAAGGAAAAATACAGTTTTCTAGATTATTTCTAATGAAAAAAAGTCCTTGAAATCCCATGACGATTGCAAAATAACTACTCCAATAAACATTTCTGGCAAAGGCCCCCATGTTTTGAAAATATTTTTAATTGTTCATGGATGTCTTTAAGTAGTTTCATGGGCCACCTAACCATTGAGCCTGGAACTGAATACAGCATTAAGGACTGCAGGCATAACTCAATTCATTATATTACTAACTTCCAAGACTCAGAGATGAAATGGTAACAAGACTATTGAGCTACAATAGAGAAAAGAGTCCTTTACTTAAGTGAGTTTTACTGCTGGAAGATTTAGGCAGAGGACAGGCAGCTTCTAGCACTTTTGTGTTTTCTTTATGTGAATACTCCCACCCTGAAAAGAAAACAACTGAAAAAAAGGATGGCTAATTTTTTCATTATGCCAGTGATTTATTATTAGCCTAAGCCTGTATTCATTAGAATACAGCATTATTCAAAGAACTGGCTAAAATTACAAAGCAGCCAATATTCATAACCATCTCTTTTAACATACTTGCATCATGGCCATTGAGGTAACCTAGGTTAGCTGGTCTTTACTCTTGATGGCTCTATTACTCTTCTGATTTTAATCAGAGAAACTCTTCAGAATCTTACTGACCACATGTTCATGGACGCTGCTGCAAAGTTGGCTTTTTAGAAATGCTTGTTATGTAAATACCTTTTATATATCCATGAAATTTACTTGATTTCTATAAGCCATTATACTCTTAATGATTATTTTTTGGGGAAAAGGATTGAAATTCAGATTCATAACATCCTAATTTCTGTCCTATGCATTATAAGGATACATTTACAATTTCTTAGAGAAATGTTTTGGAAACTACTTCATATAAAGAATCCAGCTAATTAATTGGGTTAATTAATTAATTGTTAATTAATCTGCAAGTCTTTCTGAAGGACTTACTATGTTAAAGATTACCTTTGGTAAAATCAAATATTTTTATAAATCACAAATGAGAATTGGCCAAATGCATGGGGTTTGTGAAGGATTGTATTTCTTCTGTTTATTTTGCAGACTGTTTTGTTTTCATCATCATCTTATTTTTTTTAAGTGTGCTCAATCATCAAGAAAGAACTTGACAAATTCCCTTGAACAAAAGATAAGGTGCTTGGAGAAACAGAGAAAAGAGGTAATGTAGGAATATCGGTTAATGTCACATGTACCATAGATTAATGCTGAGGGTAAAATAAGGCATCATCTAGAGTCTGTTAGTTTTGTTATTGTCACAGTATTTATCTCTAGAACACTTGACTTCACTATTTGAGAGCAAATGCTTCTTCCTTACCTACCTATCTTATACTTACTCTCTCAGTATTTGTACCTTGATGAAGGGGAACAAATGAGAAAGTCATAAATATGGCAATTAGAATCCGAATTTTCTCTAAGCACAGATTTTCCTCCTCATGGCCCATATGAGATTATCACCTGGGGCCTTTATGTCTTAGAGTGTGACACTCAAACTATTAATACCTCTAAGTGCAGGCAATTTCAGTGCTCTTTCTGAACTGGGCATCCAGATACATACAAGTTAAGGAGAATTTTCACACAAAAAAATCTTTGCTTCTAAAATATGATTGGTAGCATTTTGAGTTTTGTTTTGCATCTAAAGTATGATTGGTAGTGTTTGGAGTTTTGTTTTGCTGAGTTTAATAAATCTTATGATCTCTTTTCTTGACAAAGGAAGAGATAAGTGTAATGACTTTAGCACTCCATACATTGTCAATGCTGTATCCATTTTATTATTTTTTAAGTATTCTATGTATTATAACATTATATTCTCTTCAGTGGTGCCTTTTATTCCTCCTTAGTACTACATAGAATCCTGTGCCCTTCTAGACAATTACTGAACTACAGCAGAGTAATGATACTATCACATAGAAATATGAGTCCCTAAAACACCAATAGATCAGACATCTTTACATAATAATATTATACAGTCTTATTTTAAAGAATTGTATCTATTCCCAGCATTAGTGTTTCCTGATCTCTGCCAGTATGGACTAGGTATTTTGTTTTTTATTTAGGAGAATGTCTTGCTTATTTTTCATCATTGTAACTGTTTTCTTGATGTCTGTCCTATATTGAAAAGCATTGGAAATTCTCTTTCTAAAGGAAACTTAAAAAATAGTGAAACAGTCTATAGTGTTTGTTCTTCCAAATTGTTTGCAGCCTAAAATATTTCTAAGTATTGTCATGTGACAAAACTAATATTCCTTGAAAAAATCTATGCTTTCAAAATGGTGATATTACCCATTCATTGTGTGTATATTATAAATCATTTGTTAACCTTTTCCAGTACATGATTGCAAGTAAGTCTAGAATTTTTTAATACTAATTCTGCTTTTACAAAGCTTAGAAGTAATATTTCATTATAATAACCAGCGTGGGCTTCTGGTGTTGTGATGCAGTGGGTAAATCTGCCACCTGCAATGCTGGCATCCCGTATTGAAGCACTGGTTGGGGTTCTGGCAGCTGTTCTTCTGATGTAGCTCCCTGTTAATGCACCACGGATGGCAACAGATAATGGCCTAAAGACCCCTGCCACCCACTTAGGAGACCCAGACAGAGTTCCAGGCTCCTGGCTGTGGCTTGCCCCAGACCTGACTGCCATGGCCATTTGAAGAGTGAACCAGCAGATGGAAGATCTCTTTTTCTGTCTCTCCTCCCCTCTCTCTGTCATTCTGCCTTCCAAATAAATAAAATAAAATTTAAAAATAAATCACTATAAGCACTTAAAAATATCAGAATATTTGGAAAAAGATTTTTATACATTAATAAATCTTAAAGCAACAATCAATAGTTACAAATTTTTATTAGATCCTGGTTGGACTAAACATAAAAGATGAAAGCTCCAAGAACTAACAAAAGTTGAAAGTTTCTGGTAAACTGCCAAGATATCCCCAAGACTTACTGGTTTTTCATATATAAACCAGTTATGAAAAGGTGAGAGTGTGGTCCATTCCATCGCCCCAGCCTAGTCAGACCTGGTGGAAGAGACACTGTCTTCACCTAAGGCTTCCAAAATCTCAGTGTCTCAAAAGGCAATTTCATTTTGGTCAAGTTTCCAAATGGGTAGAAATCTTTTCTGACTCATTAAACTTTAATAATTTCAGCTCCTGGAAGTTAATTGGCAATGGGATCAGCAATTCAGAAGCATGAAAGAGCTATACGAACAAAAGGTAAACACTTCTCTCTGTTGGGTGTTTTGTTTAAGCCAGTAATCCTAGAGGGGCCAAGTGGGGGAAGATTCTCATTGATTTGAGCTACAAGAGGATTCATGGGTAGCCCAGTGTTGAACAATGAAGGGTGGGGGTGCCGAGTGTATTACTGTCCTCTAGGTAGGGAAGATTAGTGAAGAGTGTCAGTGAATGCTCTTGAGCATGGTTAGGGAAAGGTGCAGAAAACAACCTCCCAAGGTCTCAAGGGCTCTGATGCGACTTTCTCCTGCCTCCCAGAGTACACCGGTCTTGCCTTCCTTCCTAGCAACCATGAATCTGCACCAAGGTAGTTGAGGTGAAAAACAGTTTCAAGTTCATGCTGTTGCATGCAAGGCCAGGACTCCAATTCTCCAGTTAGAGAGCATCAGCTCTTCTCTACGACAAAGAAAAGTAGTGAAATCAAAAGTGGGAGGGGAAATAGGTGGGCTCCTCCTCCTCTCTGCAGCACACCCCCTGTGAGAGAGGAATGTTTGGGAGAAAATCTTCTTCAACGGGAGAAAGTCAGTTTAGACTCTGTCTTCAAAAAGAGGGAAAAGAGAAAGTAAGCTCCCCTAAATAATTCAGAATTAAGAAACCCAACCACAAGTGAGTAATGCAACATTGCTGTTTTCTTCCTCATTTGGATACTCAGAAGCATTAAATGTAGAAGGTGGAAGACAAGGTTCCCACTGCACAGCAAGTCAGGCCCCCTTGCAGTATGCACTCTAGAGTAGTTCGGGTCTCCATATGCTAAAGAGAAGACACCGAGAAAACGTCTAGGCTGCTCCTTGGGAGTGTGTGAAGACCCAGTGTTAGCCCAGTGTTAGCCACGCGCATAATTCCCTATTTGGAAGAAGGACCCATCTCGCAAGTTTCTTTCACGGGACCCCTGTCCCCAGAACTACAATGTAGCATCCATGGGGGTGGGAGGGTGGGGTGGAGGTGGGGGTCAAGTGCTGAGGACTACAGACACATTTAAGGCCACGTCTGTTTTGCTGTGGTGTGGGCAGGTTCTAACCTAGCGCCTGAGCCTCGCTGCCTTTTCCAGCTCCTGTAAGGCACATCCTGAGAGTGGAGACTAGGATGACAGCCCTAGGGAAGCCTCTGTGCGGATCTCAGCGTTTATTCCCTCTGTCCACCAAGTTCCTTTTAAAATGCAAATATACTGATCCATATTCTGTTTGGTGGGAAGTGGACCCTCTCCTGGAGGAGAAGTCCAGGAGCAGGGCGTTTCTGTCCCCAAGTGCAAAAGCCCAGAAAAATCCAGGGGTGCGTGGGTTTCAGAAAAAGTGTCAGCTACACTCTGTGAACGACTTCCTCAGGTCGCAGAGCTGAAAACGAAACTGGACGCGGCGGAAAGATGCCTCAGCACCCAGGAGAAGGATCGCCCGCAGAGCCGGGGAGAGGCCCTGAGCCGGGACCCTCGGTGGCGCCAAGAGGTGGGCAGGGCCGGGAAACCCACCTCCCTCCGCCACCGGGGAGCTGAGTAAAAGTAGGGGCGGTTTCCTGTTGAAAATCTACCGTTTTGCCAAACCCAACTCACTGCTGAGCAATGCCTCATCTGCGAGGGTGCACGGATTATGCAAGTCCTCAGAAGCCACAAAAAAGGGCCACTTCTCAGGAGCAAGAGGGAAGCAGTCCCTCGGGGAGCTTCCTCCTGTGTTTGCACAAAGAGATGTGGCTTGCGAGGCCCTGGTAGAAAGAAACTCCTCAGGAGATTTGGTCTTGTCTTTCTAGGGCTTTTCACGCTAGGAGAAAATTACTTTTCTTTTTAAAAGATTCATGTTTTTTTTTTTAATTATTGGCGATTAATAATAATAATCCAATTTCTTGTATTTGTACAGTAGCGCTGACTTTACAAACAGGTATTGTTTTTGTGATCATATAAAGATAACTTTTGTGAAATCATTTTTCGCCCATAATCTCATTTAACATTCCCAGGCCACTTGTGAGGATAAGAGTTTTGCCATGTTCAAAATGAGAAGCTTCACAGGCACAGAGGCTGGTGGCTTTGCCCATGCTGACAAAATAGCCCGGTCTCCAGAGTCCGTGTAGCCATCAATCCCTGCTGAGGGGAAATGGTGGCAGGCTGAGATAATGGTTCCTCCTCAAAGATTCTTTTCCTTCTTGGTGTCTGTTAGGGGACATCGTGGATACGGTAGATAACGAGAGGAAAACTCTAAACTCTCACGGCCTCTCAGTTACTTAGGTATAGTCAGAAAAAAACAAGAAGTGCAGTTCTGGCTGGTGATGTCCTGTCACTGATATTGCGCAGCATCGGCCATATTTGAAGACAAGCACACACCTTAAGGCAAGATCTAGGGTCGGTACAGGCGCCATCAGTCTAGGCTTCCCCTTCTTGCTGAGGTCTTTGCCCCAGAGAGTCAGGAAAGCAGGCTTTAGCAATTCCTTTTCATCACATAGCAGTCATTTCCTTTTCCAACTACAGGTTGACCAGAAATCTTAGTATTTTTCTTTCCTCCATTTGCTAGTTGAAGTAATTTTCTCTGAAATTGTGATAAATTAGAAAAAGGATTGTTCATTTTCTAATACATAGGCCCTATCTATTAAAATAAAAGCAGATAGAAATGTCCTCATTTTTAAAGAAACTTATTACCTAAAGTATAGTTCTTAAATTTAATAATTGTATTGGAAATTACCAATTACTAAAATAAGATACTTTAATGCCTATATTAGCTATTGTCTGATCTTGAGTTACCTAAATTCCACAATATTTAATTAGGCTAAAATTTCAATCTTGCTTGAAATCTAAGAGATCTGAGGCATAGTGTCTGGATCCAGAGCTCGCTGGTGTCCAAGCAATGAACCTTCAAGGATTTAAACCAGCAGCCCTCTTGATAATGCTGTTACACGTGGAAGAGTGGTGGCAGTTGGAGCAGTTTGTCTCTTCCTTTTAAAAATAATAATCACAACAATGTAATGCTTTGAAAAATTCTCTGTAGTGTTGGGTCTTCTTTGCTACTGTCTTCTCTGGGCTCTGAGGTACTTCATATTGTTTTGTTGCAACGAGGTTTTTGGGGGTGTTTTTTGTTTTGTTTTTTGTTTTTGTTTTTGTTTTATTTTTCCTTTTTAGGAGTTTCCAACTACTTTCACGGACTCACTTATCTTTTACCTAACAACACTATATGGGAGCTAGCTAATTCTGCAGACCCATTTCTTTGATGACTGAAAGGGAGGATTGTGGAATTTGATATCTTTTTCTGGGGCCACAAAACTTCAAAGCATCAGCACTACATTATCGTAAAAGTATTGTGCTGTGTGCTCTACCCAGGAGCTATGCCAAAATGGAAAGTTCAGAGAAAAACCGTGCCTTGCTGTTCTGTGTCTCAGAAGGGTGACCCCGTTTGACAGGGGTGGCTGAGGCATTAGGACACCTGGACTAGCATCTCCTTTGGCCTTTGTTGACTGCGGTCTTGTTTTCTGGCTCTTGACTTCAGAAGGAGAATGAAAGACTAGCTGAAGAATTACATGAACTGAAGAAAGAGAATAAGCTTTTGAAAGAAAAAATTGTTCTCGTGACTAAGAAGAAGGAACACTACGAATGTGAAATAAAACGCCTCAATAAGGTAGGAAGCCAGATCCAGCATGGGAGATCCAAATGTGAGGTCCCTCTGTAAAAAGCACAGTTCCGGGGCCGGCGCTGTGGCGCAGTGGGTTAAGGCCCCATCCTGCAGTGCCAGCATCCCCTATGGGCGCCAGTTCGAGTCCTAGCTGCCTCAATTCCAATCCAGCTCTCTGCTATGGCCTGGGAAGGCAGTAGAAGATGGCCCAAGTCCTTGGGCCACTGCATACACATGGGAGACCTGTAGGAAGCTCCGGGCTCCTGGCTGCTGGCTTTGGATCAGCTCGGCTCTGGCCATTTCGGTCATTTGGGGAGTGAACCAGCGGAATGGAAGACCTCTCTCTCTCTGGCTCTACCTCTCTCTGTAACTCTGTCTTTCAAATAAATAACAATTCTTTAAAAAAAAAAAAAAAAGAGCACAGTTCCACAGAGAGTCACAACAGAAACGGGGCGTAATGTGGTCCCTGCACTGCGGGCTGGCCCAGCATATTCTCTGAAGTTTTACAAATCGCTTCTATGTGTACCTTTCAGCCATACATGGCTAAGGAGGCTTTAGGGAAGTCATATCTGCAAAAAGTCATCATGAGGAAGAGAAATGAGGAGGAATTTTCGAAGACAGTAAGGACAAGTTGTAAGTTTGAAGAACCACTTTTTAAAGCAAGTGGGTGTTTGTGAACAATAACACATCTCTTGGTCAACCGCAAAAGCTTCCTGAGGAAATAAGCTGCTCGCTCTTTACAATGATCGCTGGGGAGCTGGGTGTGATACACTCTATGTGGAAGATTGCTAAATGCCAGCTCCAAGGCTGAGATGGCGGGCTTCCCCAGGGCAAGCCTAAAACCCACCTCCAAGGGGTGCAGGATGAGAGAAGTCAGGCCTTTTAAGGAAAGAGAAGTGGTTTAGTACCTTAGCTCCAGGAAACTCTTCAGAGCCACAGCCTGTGAATCGATGCAAAGGGGTAATGTGTCTAGGTGTGAATATTGTTGCATATGGACTAATGGCTTATGTTTCTCGGGGGAAGAATGAGTGGCGAGTTCAGGGGGAAAAAAAAGATGTCCTTTGCTGTTGACTTTTCCAAGGGCTGAGTCATATGTTGAACATGGGAATGCTGAATGCATACAGATGAGTTGAGCTATGCCATCTCTCAACTAGAAAGATCATGACCAAAGGGATAGAACATGTCTCTTGCAATAAGAGTAGACAAACGGCTGATCTTAAAAATATGTTCAACTCTGTATTTTGGACTGTGTGCCCAAGGTTGGAGGTCACTGGTGTTCAGAAGTGTCATTTAAATCTCCTCAAAGTGTTAGGCATGTGCCTGCAGAGTGGCAGGATGCTTTGTATTATTAGATCTGTTTGCAAGATAAGTTATCTGTCGGGAGAAAATGGGAAAGTAGTGATTGATTCTATGAATGACATACTTTCTCCCCTAATAGAGAAAAACAATGTTCAGACAAAATCAGGGTGAATACATACCTTCTCTTAATCTCTGCAGGAAAATCTTCCACAGATGGATTAGAGGAACCAAGCATGGTTGAGATTATATTTAAAATCACTTCCATTTAATAAATAGATTTTTTTTGACAGGCAGAGTGGACAGTGAGAGAGAGAGAGAGAGAGAGAGAGAGAGAGAAAGGTCTTCCTTTTGCCGTTGGTTCACCCTCCAATGGCTGCCGCGGCCAGCGGGCTGCGGCCGGCGTACCGCGCTGATCCGATGGCAGGAGCCAGGTACTTCTCCTGGTCTCCCATGGGGTGCAGGGCCCAAGGACTTGGGCCATCCTGCACTGCACTCCCTGGCCACAGCAGAGAGCTGGCCTGGAAGAGAGGCAACCAGGACAGAATCCGGTGCCCCGACCGGGACGAGAACCCAGTGTGCCGGCGCCGCAAGGCGGAGGATTAACCTAGTGAGCTGCGGCGCCAGCCTAATAAATAGATTTATTTATTTATTTGAAAGGCAGAATGACAGAGGGGAATACACACACACACACACACACACACACATGCACGGGTTGGGGGAAGGAGAGAGAGAGAGATCTTCTATCCAGGTCTACCATGTGAGTGAAAGGCACTCCAGTACTTGGCTACCATCTGTTGCCTCCTAGGCACATTAGCAGGAAGCTGGAGCCAGATTGGAGTCAAGATTCATAACAGGCACTCCAGTATAGGATATGGGTGTTCCAAGTGGTGGCTTAACTCCCTGTGCCACAACACCTGTGGTTAACACCATAGTATAAGTTTAGGTATATTCTCTAGTTCATAGCCCTAAATGTATCCAAGGACATAAAGCCTATAGATACTAGAACAAAGAAGAATTCTTGGAATTCTTGTTTTTCTCTTGTCCATGAGTATACTTTATCTTTCTGGCACCTGTATGAATACTTAACAAAAAGTTTTTTTTTTTTTTTTTTTTTTTTAAGATTTACTTACTTATTTGAAAGTCAGAGTTACACAGAGAGAGGAGAGGCAGAGAGAGAGAGAGGTCTTCCATCTGATGGTTCACTCCCCAATTGGATGCAATGACTGGAGCTGCGCCGATCTGAAGTCAGGAGCCAGGAGTTTCTTCCGGTCTCCCACGTGGGTACAGGGGCCCAAGGACTTGGGCCATCTTCTATTGCTTTCCGAAGCCTTAGCAGAGAGCTGGATGGGAATTGAGGCAGCCAGGACTAGAACCGGCGCCCATATGGGATGCCAGCACTTCAGGCCGGGGCGTTAACCCACTACACCACAGTGCAGGCCCCAAAAAGAAGTTTTAAATATTTGAATAATACTGATCTTTTAATTCTCATGATTATAATAAAAATTAATCTGAGCAAAATACATATCTTTTATACATATTACTTTCTCAAAAAGGATTTTTCTGATTATTCTAATTAAAATTATAGGAAATGGGCATTTGGTGCAATGGTTAAGAGATGCCTCTTGAGATGCCTGCATCCCATATTGGAGTGCCTGGACTTCAGGCTAAGATTTGACTCCAACCCAGCTTCCTGCTAATGCACACTCTGAGAAGCAACAGGTGCTGGCTGAAGTACTTGGGTCCCTGCCACCCGTGTAGCTATTGCGGGCATTTTGCATTTGGGGGAGCGAACCAACGGCTGGAAGATCTCTTTCTCCTCTCCTCTCCTCTCCTCTCCCTTTTGGTCTCCCTCCCTTTAATTAAATATAAAATTAAAATTTTAAATTACATATCCTACCCCTGCTATTTCCTAAAAAGGGAACAAATTTCATGTATTTCATATATACAATTTTAAGAGTAATGAAACTTCCCACTCTTCCTTCCCTCATTCCCATACTCCTATATCCTTAGGGCCACAGTCATGGTAAGCTCTTAAATATTTGTTGAATGGGTGAATGAGTGAATTAATTAACTATTGCATAATAAAAGTTCAATAGCCAACTCTGGACCTGAGACTCATGCATTAGCAGATATACTACAGTGCTTATGAGAAATGAGAATAAAAGGATACCTAAAGCCAGAAAATATCCATCTCACACATCTATATCTTAAATCGTCATTAAAGAGTAAGGTGATTACCTGTGCAAAGAGATTTTTTTTTCTCATTTAGTGCATATAATAGTATTTCTTTTTTTTTTTAACTTTTATTTAATGAATATAAATTTCCAAAGTACAGCTTATGGATTACAATGGCTCCCCACCCATAACTTCCCTCCCACCCACAACCCTCCCCTTTCCCGCTCCCTCTTCCCTTCCATTCACATCAAGATTCATTTTCAATTATCTTTATATACAGAAGATCAGTTTAGCATATATTAAGTAAAGATTTCAACAGTTTGCACCCACATAGAAACACAAAGTGAAAAATACTGTTTGAGTACGAGTTATAGCATATAATAGTATTTCATGAAATGGAAGGCATTATTACTCTTTCATTGTATATAAACTTTTTTTTTGCTTTTTCCCACTGTGATAAACAGAAATTATTCAAAATGTTGATTTGGGTGCCTGACTATGCACTCCATCCAGCACAGCACGGCATTTGGGCCCGACCCTCATTGCACAAGCCTACTGACCCATTTGCTCAGCTGACATTTCTAAGATGTCAGTTTGGTAATAAACATATGGATTTCAAAATTTCATACAACTATGTGTACTCAATTCAATTAAGCTGCTTTGAGGAACATGTTCAAGGATTTCCTATTAATCAGGGTCATGCAGAGAAGCCAGATGTTTATCCAAAGTGGGAGAAAGTGTCTGAGTCTAGACAGCCACTGCCATCTTTGGGAAAAACTGATTTGTTTGACACCACTGTGAGTGTGTCTGTACTTATAGGAAATAGCCACTATAGAATAGGTGACAAGTGTTTCTTCAAGGAAGTTGGAAAACCCCAACATGAAACATGCTCTCCCAGTGGGAGCATACATGGTAATCTAGCAGAATATTACTCAGAACATCATCTGAGGCTAGCAGCATCAGCTTCTGAGAAATGTAGGTTCTTTGTCTCTACCCTCCGATTCACTTATTCAGAATCTCTGAGAGCAGTGCCCAGGGCTGGGCATATTTGCTACCTTTGATGCTCTCTAAAGTTTGCACATCATTGGTAGTGTAGACATTTGATTGAAGTAGAGAATCTAGAGAAGTCCTATGGTATATTTTCTTTTATTTTTTTTTAAGGTTTATTTATTTATTTGATAGAGTAACAAAGAGAGAGAAAGAAAGGCAGAGAGAGAGGTCCTCCATCAGCTGGTTCACTCCCTAATTGGCCCCAACAGACGGAACTGAACTGATACAAAGCCAGGAGCCTAGAGCTTCCTCTGGGTCTCCCATGCGGGTGCAGGGGCCCAAGGACTTGGGCCATCTTCCACTGCCCTCTCAGGCCACAGCAGAGAGCTGGATTGGAAGTGTAACAGCCGGAACTTGAACTGGTGCCCACATGGGATGCCAGCACTGCAGGCGGCGGCCCCACCTGCTACGCCACAGAGCCAGCTCAGGCCCCTGGGTTGTTTTCTTTTAATCTTTTGTTTGGTGGGGAGGGAGTCCAACATCAAAGATCCCAATTTAATAATAATGGTTGAATAACATCATCATTAAGAAAAGAGATTCCGGGAAAAATACATATGTACAGAAAATCAGAAAGAAGAAAGCTATTCAGTCATATAAATCGCATTAAAAATGAAATTCTACCTTGTAGGTGCATTTGAAGCCATTGTCACAATTATAGAGGAATTCCTAAGGTGTAATCTGAGATCAACAGTGCTCTTGTCTTAAAACATAGGCTCTTCAGGATGCCTTGAAAATCGAGTACTCTTCAGTTTCTGAGGACTATTTGAGGAAGTCTAAAGTGGAATGCAGCCACGAGGAGATGAGAACAGAATTGGAAGTTCTCAAACAGCAGGTGAGAATTTGGAAGCGGCATAATCGGGGCGGGGGGTGGGGGAAGAGGCCCAATTTTCATGCTTCTTTGGATATTTTTGGTTGCTGCTCAAAATTTATCAAAGGTGTTTGCACTATTTTATCAGAATTATGTAGACTTAAAGCTGATAGCAAGAATATAGATAGGGCAGTTCCCTACCACATGTTATAAAAGAGGAAATTGGGTTTCAGATGGCTCAAGTGGTTTGCCCAAGATTGCACAATTGAATGAGGGACATGTTAATTAGCCTTTGGGTGAGAGTTGATTACTAGCGGGTCTAGAGAGTTTCATGTGGCATGATTTATTTTGGGAAAACATTGTTAACATTGTTAACCCAGACTCTGGTAGCAGTTGCACTTTGATTCTGTAGAAGCTGAGCTTCAGGCCTTTTAACAATAAGGTCAGTTTTAAAGAGAATATTTTGTGCCAATTATAACCACTGAAGAGCTAGGTGTGCTCAGCTACTCCCACTTATGGATGGCAGCACCTATCTATTTATTTTTAAAGATTTACTTATTTATTTGCAAGTCAGAGTTACAGAGAGAGGGGAAGAGAGACGGATCTTTCATCTGCCAGTTTGCTCCCCAGGATAACCACAACAGCCAGGGCTGGGCCAGGCTGAAGCCAGGAGCCGGGAGCTTCACCTGGGTCTCTCATCAGAATAGCAGGGGCCCAAGCATTTGGGCCTATCTTCTGCTGCTTTCCCAGTTCATTAGTAGGAAGCTGAATCAGAAGTAGAGTAGCCTTGGGGCAGGTGCTGTGGCGTAACGGGTTAAAGCCCAGCCTGAAGTGCCGGAACCCCACATGGGTGCCACTTCAAATACTGGCTGCTCCTCTTCTGATCCAGCTCTCTGCAATGGCCTGGGAAAGTGGTAGAAGATAGCCCAAGTCCCAGGGCCCTTGCACCCACATGAGAGACCTGGAAGAAGCTCCTGGCTCCTGGCTTCAGATCAGCTCAGCTCTGGCTGTTGTGATCATTTGGGGAATGAACCAGCGGAATGGAAGACCACTCTCTCTCTCTGGCTCTACCTCTCTCTGTAACTCTGTCTTTCAAATAAATTTTTTAAAAAAGTGGAGCAGCAGGACACAAACTGGTGCCCATATGGAATGCCAGCATTGCAGGTGGCAATTTTACTTGCTATGCCACAACGCTGGCCCTCTTTCATTTATCTATCTAGTTATTTATTTATTTTTATTTTATTTTTCAGAGAACAGGTTTTTACAATTTGTTGTATAAATTATTTATTTTAAAAGTTGCGCAATGGAGGAGAAATGAAGAGGAGGAGGGGAGAAAGAGAGAGAGAGAGGAGAGAGAGAGAGAGAGAGAGAGAGAGAGGAGATTTTTTTCATTTGCCAATTTACTTCTTTTTTTTTTTTTTTTTCAATTTACTTCTCATATGCCTGCAACTGCCAGGTCTGGGCCAGATGGAAGCCAGGAGCCAGGAACTCCATATCAGTTTCCCCTGTGTGTGTGGCAGGGGCCCGAGCACTTGGGCCATCTTCCACCGCTTCGCAGGCTCATTAGCAGGGAGCTAGATTGGAAGCAGAGCAGCAGGTACTCAAACTGATGCTCCAATATAGGATGCTGGTGTTGCAAGTAGCAGCTTAACCCTCTGTGTTATAACACTGACACCTGGTTTATTATTTCAATATCAAATAGCTGAAAAATGTTAAGTCTCAAAGGGAGCAGAACCTGACCCAGGGCCCGTAGTATACCTCCACCCTGCTGGGGTACAAGCTGAGCCAAGCAGGGATGGATGTAAGAGATGTGCCCACCCAGATATGCTTGGTGTGAGCATGGAAATGGGTATGGGAGGTGGACATGAGAGATAATACATTACAAGGACAAGGCAGGCAAAGCCTGTTGAAGCCTCACTGAATGTCCAGAGTGCATCCGGAAGACTGCAGTGTTCATCAGTGGGCCAAACATCCCTGCCCATCCTAGCAATTTGTTGATGCACAACAGCGTCCTCCTCCTCTGTCACCCACCATCACTCACTATTGCCAAGAGGCCAGCACGATCAAGTACCTCCTCACCTCAGCTTCTGTGCAGATGAACAGTACAGGGCGGCCAGGATGTAGCACTGCCTAAACGACTCACAGCTGGAGCTTGCTTAGTTGAGAGGCCAATCAGTCACATCACATTTTTCCAGTGAGATGCTACATAGACAAATACGGGTAAATAGCTGGAATAGTTCATAGCAATCCTGACAAATACAGGGTACATATAAAAATTCTAGTTCCTGAAGCGCACAGTATCAGTAATATATTAACAGTGTGAGAAGGAAGTTAAGGAAAGTGTTATTTTTATGATACGCCTGGGTGTGATTATTGTCTGTTTTTGCTCTGAAGATGTGCCATTTTAAGGAGTTGAACTTGTGGCACAATGGTTTAAGCCGCTGCTTACATAGCCAGCATCCCATATGCTGGTTTGAATCCTGCTGCTCCACTTCCAGTCCAGAAACCTGCTACTGCACCAGGAAGCAGCAGATGATAGCTCAAGTGTTTGAATCCCTGCCCAGCCCTAGCTGTTGCGGCCATCTGGGGAGTGAACCAGAGGATGGAAGATCTCTTCCTGTTTCTGTCACTCTGCCTTTCAATAAATAAATAAATCTTGAAAGGGCCATTTAAAAGGATTCTTGATGTGATATGTGGAAAAATTCAGCAAGTGTGTTGTTATTTACTTTTCAGTTTTCAATTCATGGGAAGTATCTGGCTAGAAATACATCTAAAAAGTTCAGAGCACTTTGTAGTCAAGTTATGCTTTCTCTTCTAACAGTTGCGTTTGAACAATCTGACTTGTTGCATTCTGGATCATTTAAGAGAAAGCTTCAAAAATTCATGGACAAATGGAATTAAAAGATAAATGAACATTTTCCATGAACTTTTTGAAGCCCCACAAATGTACCTTAAAAATAAACCCCTGAAGATAATAAAGGTAATATTCAGATTTTAAAACTCTGTCAAGATTCTCAGCCCTTCAAGCACTGGTGGTGCTAGTCACAATTCCTCCAGAGATGAAAATTTAAAAATGGCTCTTTGTGTTCAGACACCTGAATCATTTTTGTTGCTGACAAATATTCTGCACTGGTTTTGAGAGAGTCATTCTTAACACGGGGAGATCACAGTGCAGGTTCAACCTGCCAGTGACAGCGATTCTTTTTTTTCCCATCATTCCTAAGGGAGAACAAAAGCATCTTCTTAATTTTAAGGTAGCTCTCTTGCTGACTTTATACACATTTTAATTGCACACATTTCTAATTGAGCACCCACAAGCATGGCGTCACTGAATGCCACATGAAATATTCAAGGCTTTATATGCTCAAAGACACTGAGTTAGAATCCTAACCCCTACCTGACTAAAGTCATGACCTTGCTGAAATGTTCCATTCTGATCGTATGTCTTCTCCCATTTACAATGCCTCTGGTAATTGCTTATAGAGCATTTGTTTCACTGGGTCTGGAATTGAACCTCAGCTCTCAATTAAAAAATTCAAAATATCAGCCTAGCTAGATGTAGTGTTTTTTAAATGTTTCTGGTGAAAAAAACCTTAAAAATGAAATATATATTTTTGTGTGTGTTGTTCTAAATCTATACAGAATGTGTAATTTTTTCTCTTTGTTATTACTGACTTGCAATTGATAAACCTCTAGTTAAATTTTGTTCCATGGTTCAGGAGGAAGCTACAATGTGCATTAATATTAATAGACAAGAATCTAGCTACTGGGTTTCAGTATAAGTAGTCATTTATATCCTGATCTTAGAGGAATTCTTTTGCTTTATTATCTTTCATTTGTTTTCATTGCTTTACATGCTTGTCTCCAAGCCATCAGTCATTACTATGCCAACTAAAAGCGACTAGAAGTTTGGTCACTTGTCTGGAGTATTTGGAATACCTCTGGAGAAGTGTTTGACTATAATAGTATGTGTTTCTTTTTCTTATATCAAATACACCCAGAGGGCAAAACTTGGGGTTACCTTTTTAACAACCATGCTTTGCTTTTCCACACACGTAGGCCTCTCTTTTCTGTTTTGTGTTCAGCCTGGAAGCTATACTTGGAGACTCTGGCATGTTAGTATTCAGTGCCACAGCTATTGTCAGTAAATTGTCTTTTACAACTTCCAGCAGAATTCCTTCCTCAAGCCCCTGTGCTGAGGATGGATGACCTGCTCCAAAGCAGTGATACTTAACACTAGGTCTGGGATTTCATCACAGTCACAGAGTATGCAGCAGAATAACCAGTGAAGGGAAATTTTTAACAATAAAATTGTTGTTATTTTATTTACAAATTTCTGATACATTCTCATTCTGAGCAAAGCAGATGATAAAATTACAGTCATAGGTGTTTCTCTGTCTCAGCGTATAGACGGATTCATGAAAAGAGGGTAGAGAAGGCCCAAGTTGGAAAGATCCAGATAGCACCTTTCCATTTAAATGGACTCAGTGAAAAGTAAGCAAACAATAATAGCAAGTTGATGCTTTTTAGGTGCGAATATATGAAGAAGACTTCAAAAAGGAGCGATCAGATAGAGAAAGACTTAATCAAGAGAAGGAAGAGCTGCAGCAAATTAATCAAACTTCTCAATCCCAACTGAGCAGGCTGAATTCTCAGGTATGTATCAAAACAAAATAATCTTTGCCACTATAATTGTGTCTTATTTTTATTTTCTCATTAAAAAAAATAAAGGCTTTTCGACTTCTGCTAATTGACATTGGATTTTCATTTTTTTGGAGAGGTCAGCACCTGGAATGGAGTCACTCTTAAATAATCTTGTAAAGAGAAGAAAATGACTGGCAATTTCTTCTAACTTAAGTATATGAAGGAGTTACACAAGAAATTGGATTCCAATATTTTTGTAGAATGTAGTTCTTTTGATCTTTTCTCATAATATTTATCTTGGTAGAATGGGAGTTGAACTACCTAGTCCTCAAATACAGTGAAGTGGTTTTTAAATTCTTGTCATTTTCTTTGAAGGCTTATGTTGGAATGTTCTTGTCTTCCAAAAATGCACGTATTTCTAAATACCATTTGGGTGTTTAGTGAAATAGAGGACTTTGTCCAGTAGGTTCCCAGATTTCATGTGACTAGAGAAAATTTAATGAAGCTCAAAAATGGTCACCAGCTTATTAGGACATAATAAGTGTAAATACACTAAAATTAAGTGTAATAGAATATATTAAAAGTAGACTCAGGAAATCATCATAATGAATAAATACTGTTGTTAATGGAGGAAAATGTAGCTAACAAAATGAGCCACAACATGTTTGATTTGCAAAATCTTGCAATTCTTTTCAATAAATCAGAAATTACTGTGGGACTTGCTTAGTCTTAGAAAAAAATTTAAGTTCTTAGTCATCCTTTTATTAATACAAAGTACATTGTGAATTAAATTTAATTTCCTCTCTGATTTTTTTCAAGGATTAATTTGAAATTCCTAATTATTTATGGAAAATTATTTGACAGTACCATTTCCTCTCCCAGAAATTAGAATGGATAAAATCGTAGTAAAATATAATTAATAACTTTCTGAGAATAATTAATAAATAATTTATATAATAATGGGTGAGAAATGTTCAGGAATACCTGGTGAAGGAATTATTTTCTCAATTTTTACTTGTTGCATACAAGGCTGTTTTCATTTCTTTTAAGCTGTCACTAAACAATGTATTTTACTTCCTGACGTATTTTTAAACTTTTATTTATTTTTATTTTATTTTCAAGGTTGAGGCACAGAGGCCAACAAACAGATGGAGAGACAGAGTTCTTCCATCTGCTGGTTTACACCCCAAATGCCCAATGTAGCCAAGATGGGTCAGGCTGAAGCCAAAGGCCTTTAACGCGATCAGAGTCCTATGAGGCTGGTAGAGACTCAAGTTCTAGAAACATTATCAGTTGTTTCCCAGGGTGCACCCTAGCAGGAAGCTGGAATGGAGGCGTATTGGCCAGGACTTGAACCAGGCATTCTAATACAGGATGCAGGCATCCCATATGACATCTTACCTATTGTGCCAAATGCCTTCCCCTCCTGCCATACTTTGATTTTAGTCATTCTACTATATTAGGTTCATATTGGTGATAAATAGGTGTCCAACACTGGCAATGTTCTTGCCATTACAGAACGTAAATATATCCATCTTACCTAGTTAAAATGTTGGAATATGACCCACAAGTATTTTTCATTCATGCATCATCTAACTTTTTATTGATATGAAAAAATAAATGTACTAAGTACAGTATGGTATAATTGTGTTTATAAACTGAGAGACAATCTTAAGGATACCTATGTGATACTTTGAAATTATTTTTCTTTAAAATAATGATAGCCAAAATCATTTATTTTTTTCATTAAGTCCCATTAACTCTGGTAAAGATGGGTAGAATTCATAAACAGATGCAGATGGGTCAATTTATTATTATATTTACATTATTATAATTATATAATAGTATTTATATTATTTATTAATTATATATAAATAGCATATTACATGCCATAGTATAATAAAAAGAACTGACATTATGTTAGTTGAATAAGATAGTCCATTGGAATGAACTTTAAAAAACATTTTTTTGGGTCAATCATACTAGCACTGGTTACTTACATGCCACAATGTCTTTGTTCTATCACTGAGGATATTTTAAGCCAATGACAATGGTAAAATAGGCAACCATGTTTAAGTGAAATATACTTAAGGAACTTTGAAATAGGAGGAATTGAGGGGATAAGACCAGGTATTCCTATCTGCCCTAATCCCCAGTTGGTAGTAGCTTTGAGAAAGTTACTAATGGTTTCAATTCTTCCCTTTCTTCATCTACAAAATGACAAATTTGGGCCAGATGATCTCAAAAGTGTTTCTTAAAACTGAAAACTTTATCTCTGAAAGTAAGACCTAGTCTCTCCCAGTATACTCACCTGTCTGTATATGTAATGATATCTAACTCCTGATTTCACAAAATGGTTCTTTGAGTTAAGTGAAAGATATAACCTTTATAAAAACCATCTCATGTTATGGTGCCAGGTACTTCAGAAACAATTTTAGTCTATTAGAAGGGGTTACATCTAGGCTGGCGCCGTGGCTCAACAAGCTAATCCTCCACCTTGCGGCACCGGCACACCGGGTTCTAGTCCCGGTGGGGGCACCAGATTCTGTCCCGGTTGCCCCTCTTCCAGGCCAGCTCTCTGCTATGGCCCGGGAGTGCAGTGGAGGATGGCCCAAGTGCTTGGGCCCTGCTGTCGCTCCCCCTCTTCATGGAGGAGCAACACAAGACCCTGCGCTGTTCTTTCGTCTGCTCGGCCCTCCCCGGGTTTGCTGCTGGTTCTTCCCGGGTTGGCTACTATCCCTTCCACCTCCGTGGAAGGGCAGTTCCCCCTGGCCGCATTCCCCACTTCTGCAGGGGAGCGGCACACCGCCGGCCGGCTTTCTCGGGGGCTGCACGGGTTCCCTTAGATGTTCCCCATAGATGTTCCTCGTGCATGCCGTCTCTCTCCTCCTTTATAGTCCTCCTCCGCCAATCCCAACTCGGCTGAGTACGCTGCTCTCCAATCAGGAGCAAGTCCTACAGTTAATTGGTTGAACTGGAGGCAGCTGTGCGGAAGCTGTTTACTTCTCTCCCAGCGCCATATTGTGGGAGAGCAGATGCATAGAATAAGTCTTAATTCCAGTAACAGTCTAGTCCGGTTTGCTCCCCACAGATCCCCCTTTCTTTTTATTTTTGGCGTTGATACGCGCCTGTCTTCGGTGTCCCGCGGCACACACTCTGCTCTACTTGCTAGAGCTGCCACAGGCTCTTACAAGTCCTATCAATCAGGAAAACCGAATCCGGGTCCTCTCTTCGCCATTGTGAGGAGGTTTTTAGGCGCTGATGCGTGCCTGTGTTCGGTGCCCTGCAGCGCATGCTCTGCTCTGCTAGAACTGCCTGCAGGTGTTTACAAAACCTATCAGGCAAACCGAATCCAAGCCTTCTCATTGCCGTATTGTGGGGGAGACTTATTAGTGTTGGTTTGTGCCTATCTTCGGTGACCTGCAGCTCATACTCTGGTCGAGCTTTGCTGGCGCTTACCGCCTTAAATCAGGCAGACCGAATCCAAGCCTCCTAATTGTTGCATTGTGGGGAAGCTTTACTGATGTTAATTCGTGCCTGTCTTCGGTGACCTGCGGCTAGCCGCCCAGGTACTCATCGCCTCACTAATCGGGCAGACCGAATCCAAGCCTTCTAATTGGCATGTTGAGGGGAGGCCTTATTTTTCTCTATTTCTCTATCTCCGGGCATTTCTATTTCTCCCATTTTACTTCTATCTTCCAGCATTCCTATTTTTCTTTTACTTCACTTCCAAACTTCTGTTTCTCTTATCCCCGCAGCTTCCCGGCACCTCGCCCCGCCAGCGGGTTCCCGGCTCTGCGCCGCTTCAGCCCGCGCGCCTCTCTCATCTGCGCAGCTTCCCGGCTTTGCGCGGCTCCGCGGTCTCCACGCTTAACCCTTTCGCGTCTGAACCACGGCCTACGCCAGCGTTCCCTATCTATTCACGCCCCGTGCTCTCTCTGCACGCGGCGGCTTCCGCGAGTAACACAGCGTAGCTTGCGTCTCCGCCACTAGGATTCAATCTAAGTTCCCCGGGCTAGCCTGGCGAATTCAACCCAGCGTACGTCTCCGCCCCACGATCTGGCTTCCCGTCCTTTGCTCCCCGGGCTAATCAGACGGATCCCAATCTGGCTTACGTCTCAGCTTCTGGTTTCAACTTTTCGCCCCCCATTCCCGGGCTAACTTGAGAACCCCAAAGTGACTTTCGTTTCCGCCTCGGCCTGCCCCCCGCGGCTTCAATTTCCCTAACATTTTTCTCTACCCGGTATGTTTCCCCAAGCTTTCCTCCAACGATATTCCTCCCTCATTTCTCCTGGCCTCTCCCCACAGTCCGCGTCCGAGTCTGTTTGTTCTAGCTTTCACTTTCGCTTTCGACCTTAGAGATTTCTCCCAGCTTCCCCCCGTAGTCCGTATCCGAGTCTATGCCTAGGCTTTCAACAGCTTCTTCCGGCACCCTTTTCGTCCGGCTTTTCCCTAGGCTGTTTGCTAGTCTCTCTCTCCGGTATTTTCCCTAGGCTGTTTGCTAGTCTCTCTCTCCGATATTTTCCCAATTCTTCCCGTTTCTTCCCTCCTAAGTTTGCTATCCGAGTCACGGCACCATTATGTCGCTCCCCCTCTTCATGGAGGAACGACACTAAACCCTGCCTAGGCTTCATATCCGAGTCACGGCACCATTATGTCGCTCCCCCTCTTCATGGAGGAACGACACTAAACCCTGCCTAGGCTTCATATCCGAGTCACGGCACCATTATGTCGCTCCCCCTCTTCATGGAGGAGCAACACAAGACCCTGCGCTGTTCTTTCGTCTGCTCGGCCCTCCCCGGGTTTGCTGCTGGTTCTTCCCGGGTTGGCTACTATCCCTTCCACCTCCGTGGAAGGGCAGTTCCCCCTGGCCGCATTCCCCACTTCCGCAGGGGAGCGGCACACCGCCGGCCGGCTTTCTCGGGGGCTGCACGGGTTCCCTTAGATGTTCCCCATAGATGTTCCTCGTGCATGCCGTCTCTCTCCTCCTTTATAGTCCTCCTCCGCCAATC